ACTGCTGTATCTGTCTGGATACTCTTCATCTGTATGTACCCCTTTGTTCGTAAATAAAAAGAAAATAGAAACCTTCTCTTCTTTTCATATTCAATCAAGTTGTATATTTATAATCATAATTATAGAGAACATTCTCTTCACAGATGAATTATGCTTAGCAAACAAATTATAGAATATTCTACGGCTTATTAGTATTATGAGCTAGTGTATTTACTATTTCAATTTTAACCATTTCTATTCTGGATCTCACTATCCAAAACCAACGACCAACAATACTAATATATTTTGCTTCGATTAATGAAATAGCTAGTAGTTAATGTTTAAATAGGAATAAGAACAAATCATTTATATTTGTGTTCATGTTATAATTATAGTGTAATATTGACTGTCTTATAACATTGTTTTCTATGTCTAATTATTTACATGATTTCGTTTCTGTATTTCTCATATAAATCCGTGTTTCTAATATATTATTAGTATAATCCGTCTGTATTATTTTTACAATAATTTCTATTTCTGTATTTCTTTATTTTTTTATAAACCCATTCACTGAAGATATTTAAATTTTATAGTTTTATAAGAATATTTAAAATTCATTTTTATTATAAATAGCTAGAATTTATATACTTACGTATATACACTTAATATACAAATGATTATTACTATATTGATGTATATTAGTGTATACACAGTGTAAAATCAATTATACTTCTTAAGTCAATATAAATAAGGAATGGGTGTGCTTCTGGATGAGATAGTCTAAAATATTTATGATTCTTGATAAAATTACTTTATTTTAGGTATTAAAAAGAATTATTTCTATGAGTTATTGACTTAAAGGAAGCAAATAATTTTGAGTTATCGGGTATGCAGTAAGTTTATATCTGTGCCTTAAGAATTTCTTCTTCTGAATCTGCTTTATCATTGGGTGTATCAGAGCCATTTTTAAGAATTTCTTCTATCTTAGTGACAAGATCTGAAATATGAACACTTACCTTTTCTCTGGTGTTCTTGCTCCCCCAAATGATTTGGTACTTTTCTTCTTCTATTTCTTTTCTTCCTATAAGCACCAGAACATTCACACCTGCTGATTCTGCATATTCACTGTGCCTAGTGAAATTTCCCGATTCTCCCATAAAGTACTCAGTGTTTATCCCATTATTACGTAAATAAGTACACATTCGGATCCTTTCTTCTAAAAGATTGGAGCCAACTGAGCATACCATAACCTGAGTGGGCGTCTTCTTGTCGTTTGCACTCACCACACTGAATAATCGGCTTACACCCAGACTGATTCCTACACATCTGATTTCTTCTGTGTTTTTATTTGTTGGCTTTTTCTTGTTTTTCACTTTTAGCTTAGTATTAAGATCCTGCGCAAGAGCCGGGTCTTCAGAGTTCATGGTCAGTATATTATTAACAAGCCCGTCATATCTGCCTCCTGCCACTAGTGTTCCTTCCAGTCCAACATATCCTCCTTCTAATAATATTCCAGTGTAATAATCTAATCCTCTAATTAGACTCACATCAAGAACAATTTTATCGTCTACACCATATACAGTAAGCAGCTCTTGTAATCTTTCCAGATCCTTTATTGCCTCCTTTCCCACCAGTGTCTGCCCTATCTCATTCTCTTTAATTGCACTCAGAACTTTAAAAGACCCTTTAATACAAATTGCTTCTTTTATCTTGGCAATCGATTCAACAGAAGCCCCTTTCCCTGCCATTTCCTCAGAAACTTCTTCCCATGACATTTTGTCTAGTTTGTCAATGGCACTGCCAATTGGTCCACATAAAGATTTTTCTATACCACATACTTCCATTAAACTATCTACTAATTTTTTGTGGTTTAGTCGGATGTACACTTTATTATTGCCTCCCAGCACATCCTTTGAAAAATTGTCCAAAATAGTGCAGGCGGTGCTAACTATCTCAGAATCGGCTGCCATATGTGCGTACTCTCCAATAATATCAAAGTCACTTTGGTAAAACTCTCTATACCTTCCTTTGGCTAAAGCAGGCTGGTCTCTTCTAAACACCTTTGCCGTGTGGTACCTCTTCATTTTTACAGTCTTTGTCATTGCCAAATACCTAGCCAAAGGAACTGTTAGATCGTACCGCAGTGCACACAGTTCACCCCCCTGATCTGCCAGATCATAAATAAGCTTGGAGTCTTCTCCGTATTTGTTCATTAGAATAGATTTTATTTCAAATGTGGGTGTGTCAAAAGGAACTCCTCCCCTTTTTCTGTAAATATTCTCTACCTCCTGAATAATCCTGTCAAGCACCATTTTATCCTGTCCAAAATAGTCTCTGGTACCCTTTGCTGTTTTAATTAACTGGTCCATAATAAAAAAGAATTTTCAGAATATATGAACGCATGCGCACGATTGGTCACTCTTCACCAAGACCTCGCAGAACTTAATGAAAAGACAGAAAAAACAAAAATAACGATCAAAAAAACACTGAAAGAAATCCGGGCAGCAGACAAATTGACACAAAAAGACAAAGCAATAATAGAAAAGGTAAAAGCGGAAGTTTCAACCTCTAAAATTCTTGAGCTTTCACTGGGCACAAATGAGGTCAAACTGCCAGAGAAATTGAAGTACAAGTACAAAAGTGACTATGAAAAATTTAAGCTAACTTCAACAATTACCGTTACAATTTTAACCCTTTTAAACCTTCTAGTATTTCAAAACAAGATAATGGACACAATCCAGATACTCATACAAATATACATATACTCTACCCTCACAATACGAGAGCATATTCTAATTAATAATGGAAGTAATATAAAGATGTGGTGGATAATCCATCATTACATTTGTATTATTATTACAGGAATGATGCTGACCTGTCCAGAAGAATCATTTTCTTTCATTAGAGTTCCCGTGCTTAAGTTTTTATTTGTACTCTCTTGTTCACAGGTCGTACAGTATCAATACCAAATGAGAAGACTTTACATCCATCGAGCTATAAAAAAAGCAGACCCACTGGAAATAACAAGTGATGTAATGAATGTGTCTTTAATGGCGAATTTATGGGTGGCTGTTGGTATTTTAGTCCTATTTCAATTTATTCAAATGTACGTATCTTATTACATATACACACTGCATGTGATTCATCAGTGGAAGAATTATCAGCCACTGATAGGTGCATTGCTTATATGTGCTATGTCATTTGGAAATACTTTTACTATCTTTTACACTTGTTATAATAAAGGAGTTGCTCCTAAATAGAGGAAACACCCAAATATGCCGTTTATTGTTCTGTTCATTTGTTGTATTTAAATAGTTATTCAGCGTGTATACACGTCTGATTATTGCATTTAAATATAAAATCACGTAGAATTTATTTTTAGAGTTTTATAAATATTCGAAATTATGCTGAATAGACCTAATTTCTACTAATACCTGTAAGAATTCATTTTAAATTCTAGACACATCTAATAAGTATATAATACAGGAAATATATTATCTACTTGTGGTTATATTCATATACGTTATTACTAAGATTTTGGAGTGTATATAAATATTAAATAGATATCTTACATTAATTTATGAGTGTGTGGATATTTCTATTTGTATTAATTATACAGTTATGTGTTCTTATACTGCTGCTTATACTATTATTTGTTAGATGTTGTTATTATTGCTTTAAAGATGTAAAAATTCTATTGATGAGGCATGTAAATATTTCTATATATAGAAATGGCGGTTATTTAGTCTATTTTAGGCATAATTACAGTGTATACTTCTATTTATGTTATAATACTTAATTATCTTTTGCTATATTTGGAAAATAGTGAAAATATAAAAATATCCCGCGCCCGCCATTTCTTCTTTATATCCCGGGTATGCGTGTTTATACCCATGGAAAGTACATATGAAGAGTCTGCAGGTAAATTAGCCGTGCAGTACAGTGACGACTGCTGCCCGCCCTCACCACAATCCCATATTGACTTTGATGAAACAATTATACAAAAAACGAAGGACAAAGAGAAGAAAGACTCTTCCCAAATACGTTGTATACAAGGACTTAACTGAAAGAGAAGAGACCAAGCTGACTCCAAGACAGCTTCTGATGATAATGAAGAAAAAGGGGATTATAACAGACGGAATAAAGGAGCTTGACAGAGAAACAACCGAAATATTTCCTGGTGTAATTCCATGCAGGAAGAATAAAAAAGAGGAAAATTCTGTGGATAGTAATGAAGAGATGCCAGAAATTGCAGTAGCCCCCGAGAAGAGAATAAATGACAAAAAAAAGACAATAGCAGACAAAACAGACAAATTACAGGAAGTAAAGGAAAAAGAGTCCATAAAGAAGAAAGAAAAAAACTCTGAAATGGCAGACATAAGCAAGAATGAAGAAAAATCGTCTATAGAAACCGTAAAAACAAGGATATGCATAGAGAAGGGAGTAGTGAAGAAAATATTAGAGGAGACCTCTGATGTTAAAGTGATGGCAAAAGAAGCAGAGAAAGGCAGTTCAGAAGAATCATTAAAGCATGTAAATATAAAAATATCACCAGAATTACCCAAGCTATTAAAAACAATTGAGAATAAAAATAATATAATACCAGAGAAAAGCATTACAGAGCCACCAGCAGATATAATAAAAAGAGTGGACCCTTCGCGTATTATAGTAAAGATGCGCCTTCTTCCATCGGATAATAAAATAAAACATGTGAACTGCAGCTCAGTAATAATTCAAGTATTACAGAGTATAGAAGAGACTAAGTATGAAGTGTGCGCTGAATTATTAGCAGATATGAAAAGAGAAATAGCACAGCACACGTGCACTATACGGCCACTATTAAGTTCTATTATAAAAAGACTAAGTACAGTCTTAGAAAGGCCTGGAGAGCACGCACACATGGCAACCGCTGATGCACTGCAGAAAGTGGTAATGACGTATAAAAATATAACACAAAACCGTAAACACTGCTGTATAGGGCAATAAATAAGTACACCCATTAGAGTAGCTGTTAAATAAATATAGAATAATAATAATTTTTCATTTTTAGCAAAAAGGTAATTATTCTCAAATAATGAATATAAATGGTATTGTATATTAAAATTCATGTTAATAGTTAAACAAATCAACTGCGTTTATTAATAAACCAGTTATTTTTATTAAAGTTCAGTTGTCATTTCTTTCTTTTTCTGATTATTCTGTGTAGAAGTATTTGGTACTGCACACGCGCGTGCTTTTATTAAATATTCCCTTGGATTTTTAATGAATTTCTTAGTTCTTTCAATTAAATCTGGATTTGTGGAAGCAGTGGATACTTTTGTTTTTAAATTATCATTGTTAATGGAAATAATTGTATTTAGGTCATTTTCAAGTTTTTCTGTATATTGGTATAGATCTAATTTTTCGTACTCGGGAAGAACTTTTTTGTATTCTTTGATGGCGTTGGATATATTCCATAGCTTTTTTATATCTTGTTTAAATTCTTTCTTACTACAAAAGTTTTTGTCTTCTGCCTTTACATTTATATAGTTTGCTTTCTTGTATAGGCTCAATACAATTTCTCGCATTAGTTCTACTGCAACTGTTGCGAGCTGTAATACATTTTCTTGGATCTGCATGATTTTACCATGGCTTTGCATGGTATTAATGGCTATAATTTCATTTGCTAGAAGACGAGCCTTTTTATATACTTTATTAAACTTATTATTTTTCAGATATTCTTTATAAGTATTATTACTTATATTTATACTGGATAAATCACATCGGGTTTTTTGTAAAGCAGATAATAAGAGATTAAGCAATTCATTAATCTGTAAAATAAAAGAGCAGTTTTTAAGCCTCCATGCACATAAATACTGCTGGTGCATTGGTTCCTCGCTAATTTCATTGACTTGACTTTTTGGGTCTGAATCAGATTCTACATCATCTTTATTTAAGTATGAAATTAGTTTGTTTTTTGTATGGATATTGAATTCTTTTTGTGAGGCTACAAATAAGTATATCTGGTTAGATAAGTAGGCAAAGAATCTGCATATATCATGGCAGGTTTTATCAAATGTTTTAATAGAGTCTTTTAAGTCGCCACTATCTTTATCTTTTATCATTTTAAAATACTCTTTGGGTGAACCATGCTTTAGTAAGTCATTAAAGCTAAATTCTAAAAATATATGGGGTGATTGTGTATGACTTAAGAAATACTTGGCCATATTTTCTTGGTCCAATATGAGAGTCTCAGAAGGATCCTTATTATTTGAATCTATTGATATATATTTACACATATCTATTATATTTTTAAAATCCTCTATAATTAGCACATAGTAATTTTCAATGTATGGTGAGAGTATAGGAATATCTACTAGTTTATATCCTGTGGATTTACTGCTAGTAAATAGATTTTTGGATAAATTCCTACTTTCAATTGCTGTATATATGCTCTGATTTACAGCAGACGATTGATTGCTTTTATTTTGGCTGATTTTTATTTCTGGATTACTAAGTTCTGAATTGATTGGTTTTTTCAATGTGACAGTCTTATATCCTTTATTTAGAATTAAATCTACACAGCATTGAATTTCATCATTTGCTTCTTTTAAATCATAAATTACATATTCTTCGTTGTTCATAAATTCAATAAATTCATCTAGTTTAATCTTAATATTTGTTTTCTCGCTGTTTGTATCAGCCGGTACTTCTTTTTGTTCATTAGCTGTGTATACAAAAGAATGCTTTATAATAAGCATTCCGATGACAAATATGTATTTTGTACTTCTTCTCATATCTTTTAGATTATCTTTTCTATTTATAGACTAGAAAGGGTATATGACAGGTTGAATTAAATTGTAGCCATTATAGGGTATTAAATTAAATATGTCATAATTATATGTAGTGACAGCATGGCTTGGATGTGATGCCCCCGGCCAGTCCATATGCGTATCATCCAATGCAATAATCCAGTCAAACAAAGGCAGATACCGCAAAGCAACTCAACAACTTCTGGCTATTTAGGCAGAGAACTTCTCCTAATTTAGAGAAGAGTCAGAGAAATATCAATGGTAGACTTCAGTCCCAGGTCTAGCCCATATATGGCACCAGAAGCAGAAATTCTTGCAAACTTAGGCCAATTCCTGAATATAATAAAGATCTTTCCCCCTCACTCTCTTTATCTATCATTAACCACACAGCAGGGCAGTAATTGTGTTACTCCTTGTGAGTAATTTATTATGTAAAAATATTTTTAAGCTTAATAAACTTGTTACTTATGAATATGCCAATTATTCTTAAAGTACTTTGACGAAAGAGGAATGAAATATCGTATAAATAGCACTTTATATTAAAATGCTTGTTAACAGTTAAATATGCCAATAAATTTTGTTAATAATGTGGTTATTTGTTAAAGAACGGTTTTAAACTCCTTTTTATTGATTACTCCGTAATTGACAGAGTGTAATGCCTTCTTCTTTAACTTGTTTCATTGTCGAGTGTTATTAAGTCCTTTTCAAGTCTTTCGGTATACTCATCAATGGATAGACTTTGGTATTCAGTAGGAATATTTATATGATTCTTGATGACAGTGGCTACATTCCATAGCTTTATTACGCTTTCTTTAAGATTATTCAGGTATCCAGGATTATTCAGATCTATTTTTGTAATTCCTATAGATATTGCATTTGTATGTAGAGTTAATGAAAATTCCTTCATTAATTCTAGTATAGCAAGCCCTATAGTTAACATCTCATCACGAATTTTTATGATTTGTTCGGGATCTTGGAAGAGTTCTTTACTTACAACTTTCTTTTTTAGAAGATTAAACATTTTATATACTCCTACTAAAAAATCTTGTACTTCATCTTTGTTAGAACCATCCATTTCCGGATGGATTTTAGACAAATCCCAGTCACTCTTGTATAATATAAGACCCATTGCCACAAACAATTCGTGTATGTGGTAAGTAAAAGCATAAGCTTTAGCTCTCCATGCATAGAAACACTGTTCACTTATTAAAAATTTAGTAGCCTTTTCAGCTTGACTATCACTGCGTGGTTCAATCCCGGGAGAAGTTATATTTAACCTTTTCTTTATATATGCCGTAAATTGTTTCTCAGGTTTCATAAATTCATATATCTTGCTAGACATGTAAGCAAAGAACCTACATGCTTCATGGCTGGCATTATCAATGACACTCATAAGACTATTTAACTCATCATCATTTTTAGCATCTTTTATCATTTCTAAGTATTTATTAGGTGAATCATGCTTTAGTAAGTCATTGAAGTCAAACTGTGAGAATACGTAGGGAGTGCTTATAAGACTTAAAAAATACTTAGCCATGCTTTCTGGGCTCAATGAGAAAGAATCGTACATCATGGGGCGGTTTGTAACAACCGACGTGGATGCAGACATAAGTATTATGCGTCTCAACACATCTACGACTTCTTTATAGTAAGTTTCAATATGCGGTGTAAACACGGGAATGTCTACTATTTTATAATTTGTAGTTGTTTTCTTATCAGATATGTTTTTGGTTATATCTCCCTTCTCAATTGCTTTGTATATGCTCTGATATATAATAGATGGTTGAGCATTGTTGGTTTCAGTGTTTTCTGTGCTTGGATTAGCTGATTCTAAGCTAGTGGACTTTTTTGTGGTGTGATTTATAAATTTATTTTTATTTAGATAGAAGTTCATATGGTTCTGAACTTCATCATTTAATTGTTTTAAGAAATAAATTCCTACTTTTTCTCTTTTTATAATTTCATTAATCTCTTCTAGCTTATTCTTACTATCATTTTCCTGATTGCTTGAGTCGGCTTCTTCTTTTTGTTCATTCGCTGTATATACAAAAGAAAGCTTTATAATAAGCATTCCAATGATAAATATGTATTTTGTACTTCTTCTCATATCTCTCACAATAAACTGTTTTAAATTAAAAAAAAATCTCATATATTTAGATTCTCTTTTCTATTTATAGATTAGAATGGACATGACAGATTGAATTAAAGTGTAGTTGTTATAGGATATTAAATTGAATATGCCATTTTAAGGGGGATTGACATGAATTTATTAAAATACATTTCTTTTTAAAATTTATAAGAATTAAAATAGTATTCATTTATATTTTCTGTATATCATACTGAGTTGAATTTATTTCTGTATAATAAATTAGACTTATTTAAATATTTTATTATTTTTATCCTTATATAAATTTGAATATACATCGCCTGTTGACTTTATGTATGTAGAGGAGAGGTTTCTATGAATGTATGGAGTTAGTTGTTATTAGGCATGCGGATACTATGCGGTTTTTAGAAGTAACATTGAGTTTTATTCGATAATAGACTAATGGGATTAAGAATGGGGTTTGACAGAACTGTCAATATATGCACAAATGTTAAGCCAATTATATAGAAGTTTCAAGCCACAATAAATATTCAAATTTATGATAATAGTGGTTTATATTCATGAATAATATGAGAAATAACTGTGAATATACAATAATTTATATATTTGTGCGCGTTTATGCTCTAAAATTAATTAAATCGTATTAAACCCAATGAATATGCTTATATTTAGTATTCCATGATTAAAACAATTTAATATTTCTTATTACGGCCAAACCATAAATGTATAAATTAAATATTGGATTTAAAAATTAAATGAAGAAGATTCAAGGCGTTAGCAAGCAAAAAGCACAGAATAACAAAAATGAATATTTAAGACCAAATGCCAATATGCATACAAATAAGCAATGTATAGATAACGGCATTGGCAATAAATTTGAAATTGGTCCCAGATTTAATAATGAAATACAAAAGAATGACAATATACGTTCTGAAGATAGTGTAAGTAAGACATCCGAAATTCAATTTACATTGGACTATTTACGTTTTATGTGTAATCAGCGGATCTATATAATACCTATTACATTTAATTGGGTTATACTTATGTATCTAACTAGTATGTTTTTCTTGTTTATAGAAAATTTAGAATTAATGAATAATCCAAATCAAGCTGAAAACATAATTATTCTATTAATTTTTAAAAGTTGCTCTAGTACTGCTCAGAAGTTTCTAATCGTATTTATAGCTTTCTTTTTTGTTAATATAATATATGCTGCGTGTAGAATAGTTGAGCAATTCAATGCAATGCGCCCCACACTACCGCATATGATAATTAACAACAAAACAACGCGCATTGTAGTGTTTTTTATTGAATATATTATGATGAACTTTGCACCTATGGTGATTGGTAAATTCATTTCATCTAAATACAGTACTTCTCTGCCAATTACGCCTATGGTTTATATATTCTATGTAATACACATGATTTATTTTTTGGGTGAATTTATGTATCATAATACAATCAGACTTCCTAAATATTATATATTTAAGCCCAATACAAAACAAATGAAAATTGCACAGTATGCTATATACTACATAAACCATGTAATATTGGTGTTAATTTTAATGGCAGTTGCAATTAGTCCAGATGTATTAGTCCCATTGACAGTTATAGATTATATTTACAAAAAACAAGCAATATGAATATCATAGGCAAATACTTCATCTTAATACTTTTATAATGCAAGTATATGAAATACGTTTAATTTTCAAATAAACCTAGCTTACTACTAATTTCTGGTTATACAGTGGTATTTTCATTCTTATGCAGTTCATAAGAGACCTTTTCTCATGCGATTTACTGAATATTTATATAAAATTATTCTTTATTGAATTTTTGTGCGTTTTTTTTATTTTCTACTTTCAAAAAAATATTCATTTTATTACGAAATAGAAATAATTAATTATTAGTTAAGACTCTATTTACTTCAATAGGATATAATAAGAATATAGTACCCATAACCATTAGTATAATCAGAATTATTAGCATAATATTCTTAAACACTTTTCTAATTTTAGCATTAACTGTGCCATTAAGAATTAACATTTTAGATTTTACTCGTTTTAAATAATCTTGAATTACGTTATTTTTAAACTCTTCTGGGTTAATTTTAAAGTCATTTTCAATGCTTTTAAACCTATTCCATGCATTTGAGTTCTTAATAATTAAAGTATTTTCTACATTTTCCATGTTCTTTAAATACTGTTTGATTATATCGACTGTTTTTGTGCTTTTATGTGATAGAATATCTTCTTTTATATCCATAAATATGGAAAGTTTCAACATAAAAAGATATAGCCAAAAAATGGAAACTGTTTCATTCCAGTTCTTATTTTTAATGTGAATTGAATCATATACTACACTTATAATACTGAATACATCTTCTTGGTGTACTCTTCTAAGTAACTGTAATGATTTAATATCATCATTACTTATTCCTAATTTTCTAGCATTTGATTTTTCATTCCCATTATTATCTCTTATAATTAGATTATCTCCGTATTTCATTAGTATATCTAATGCTCTTTTTAATCTTGAGCACTTTTTATACTTATTTGACTCAAAAAGACCAATCAGTGCATCATCTGAATATAATTTATAGTCTAATTTCTTTATCTTATGGATTTCACAGAGTTTATCAATAGTATCACAAAAGAAATCATTCCTATGCTGATATACTGCTGCTATAATCATATGATTGTTCCCCATTACTCTATAAAACACTTCTTTTTTATAATTATCTTGTAAATCTTCTGCTATATTTATGATTATATTCATAATTATCCCTATATAATTTATAGAGTCTTTAATTACTGTTAGTATATCATTATACGTATATCTATATCCCATTTCAGTTCTTTTAAATACTTCTATAAATATCATATTATATGCCAATTTCCTTAGTGGTACTGGTATATCTATAAATATTTCATTATTTCTGTTAATATCTACTATTATATTCGTTACTTTATCTTTATATTTACCTTTCAATTCAATTTCTTCTTTATTATTATTTATGAATTCTTTCTTTATTCTCTCTCTTAGCACACTCTCATTACAATTTATCATATAAAATTTATTTTCTTTATGATTATAGGTATTTAACGGATTATATTATAATTACTTATTACTATTAATGTACACATGGTAAGACATTATTAACACCTATATAACATACTATAAGATAGATATTGACATATTCACGTGGAGTAATGCCATCACTATCCTGTTACATAGCCATAGAGAAGAGAATCAAGAAGAGAGCCCTTTATTATCTTTAGGAAGTGTTTTAAGCCTATGCAGACACAGAGTCCTACGGGCGCAGTATGTTAGGCCTGATGCTGATGTTATCCCGTTGATGCTTCCATAAGTCTGCTTCTAAGTTGGAGAAGAGTTTCAATTAAATAGTAGGCCGTTGATACACCGATCCTTAGATCCCAGCTTTTTATCTTGGCTGTATCACTGTGTGAGATGGCACATTATCAGATCGATCGTGGACCCGTATGTCTGAGCAGTAGTACCATTATATATTATACTATCACATATTATTATACTATTATTACTATACTGTTACTTATTATTATTATACTATTATTATTATACTATCTTACACTGATAGCTGTTTTTTCCTTAAAGACTTAGATATACGAAAACTTGTTACTTATTGAATCCTCGTCGTCTGTATATAGTTTTAATTCCAATCATTTATGATAGCAACACGCCTATTACCATCACAAATGATGGACACGCATATATTAATATCATACTTAACCATTGCTATTCTGGATCTCACTATCCACAACCAACACTGGCATACTGTCATGTATTGTACTATTATTATACTGTCATGTATTGTACTATTACTATCTTACACTATCATACTTTATTTATACGATTACATATTATTATACTATTGCTATCTTACACTTTATTTATTCCATCCATTTATACTCTTTTTCTACAGATACTTCATTATTTATGTTCTCTTCTACTTCTAAATATTGCCGTATTTCTTGTGTACTCTTCTCTTGTAGTATAGTAGATATATATTTACAACAAACTTCAAGTAGCACAGGCATATTAAGATAATTAGCAGCTGCTGTTATTTTAAACAGAAGAGTTCTTTCTATGTTCAGGAATACTTCATCATACTCTGTTAGTACTATATTATTTATATTTACAGGCGCATGCTTATACTCTGCCATATACTCCACTATTTTATTAAGTACATCACTCTCCACTAGTACAGAAATACCTTCCTCCGGTATTTCTACTTCTTCTATTAAATCTGTCAGTAATATACTTTGTATATAATATTTCTTAGGCAGCGTATACTTTACATTATCTGAGGACAGCACAGTACAGAACTTATGCGACATTATTCAATAAGAAATAAGAATAAAAATAAAATAACTTATGATACATTGTATTACAATAAATAAATTACAATACAGCAGAATATATTACACATTCTATTATAATTTATATTATAATTTATTCATTATGATACATTGTACCATATATTCTGCTATAAATACAATACTTCTTACACAATCCACAATAAGTCCCATCTTTAAATAATTTTAAGCATAACCCGTTACTTTTTTTAATACATTGTGTAATAAGTCTTATACCAAATTTCTCTCATTACACAATGCACCCAAATTCAACCAAATCAGCATACGCCCAGATTATATTCGGTGAGAAAACGAGTTTTATAAGGTTCACCAGGGATATCTCAATTACTTCCCTTATCAAGCTGTCCCTGTTAGGATTAGTCTGCTCAATAGAGCATAAATATAAAAAAGTCACAGAAGAAGAAATAAACTTAGAGGAGTACTCAGAGTTCCTGTTCTATGTAGAAGACCAAGGGGGCAGGAAGATATTCCTGGGCAGGGAGAGGGAAGAGGACTTTAAAGAACTATTAAAGTTCTTTAATTATAGACTAACTATACACATATATATAGTAGGTAACAAATAATATTACGTATAGTATGATAAGTAATACTTATTATGTATAGTATGATAAGTAATACGTATATGTAATAATTATTACGCATAGTATTATAAGTAATGATAAAATAAATAATATGATAAAATATGAAAATACATTATTATAAGCATAATATAATAGCATATGTGTAATAAGTAATAAGTAATGCATAGTAGACATAATATGATAGCATATGTGTAATAAGTAATAAGTAATGCATAGCAGACATAATATAATGTACAGTGTGTAATAAGTAATGCATAGTAGACATAATATGATAGCATATGTGTAATAAGTAATAAGTAATGCATAGCAGACATAATATAATAGCATATGTGTAATAAGTAATGCATAGTAGACATAATATGATATAGTTATTACTTATTACACTATTACTATAACATAATATACAGTATGTAATAAGTAATATAATATAGTACACTATACATAATAAGTAATATAACTTATACAGTTATAACTTATTACACTATAAGTAATATATAGTAGAGATAACTTATTATAACTTATTACACATATATTATTATATACTATAACTTATTACACATATACTATTATATACTATATCTTATTCTATCCTATGTGTTATATATAACTTATTACTCTATTACTATTATATTCTATCCTATGTGTTATATATAACTTATTACACATTGTACATTACTTATTACTTATTACTCTATTATTATTATATCTTATACTTATTTTATATATATTTTATGTATTACTTATTATACTATGCGTATTATGTATTATTTATTACAGTATGTGTTATAAATATTTTTATTATTTTTACACCCATGTCTAATAACTCTAATTTAGTGCGTATCCCATCTAATCCCGTTGTATATTTAGATATATCCAGTAATAATAAGTTTATTGGTAAATTACGTATACAATTGGCATCTAATATTGTACCAAGAACAGTAAATAACTTCCTTAAGTTAGCCACAGGCAACGTAAAGGATAAATCGGGTTATAAGAACAGTATATTCCACAGAGTAATAAAAGGGTTCATGATCCAGGGTGGTGATATAATTAATGGAAATGGGACTGGAAGTATTTCCATATACGGAAGTAAGTTTAAGGATGAGAACTTCAACATACCCCATAAGAAGTATTGTATATCCATGGCTAACAGTGGCAGGGACACAAATGGGTCACAGTTCTTTATTACCACTGGTGATACTGACTGGTTAAATGGGAAGCATGTTGTATTTGGTGAAGTAATTAGTGGTACAGAAGTACTTGCTGAAATTGAGAATATTAGATGTGATAGGAATGACAGGCCAATTAATGAAGTAAAGGTAGTGGACTGTGGCGTAGAGTGAAGAACTTAGTACACATATACTATATAATAATAAAATAAACACTATTATTATGATACAATACATAATAAGTAATATAATATACACAGAGTATAATAAGTAATATAATATACACATAGTA